CACACACACACACACACACACACACATACACACACACACACACAAACAAACAATATGTTCTACTTGTAGACTTCTTTTCATAAGACAACACTCAACACATACAATCACGCGAGCTCCCACAATTATTTTTATCCGAACAAATCGCATTATAGACACATTTACACGTTCAGTGACATGACGGACAGACAATTTTTAAAGGGCAGGTGCCCATTTCAGTCTTTACCATTTGAGATACTGGGATCCTTACAGTGTCTGCTAAAACTGGACGATCAATGGCGCCGAGATACATGGTATCATAATATAGACACACAAGCAGACACACAGTTGTACACAAATGATTAATTCTACACACGTAAGCACACGTCTATTTAAGAAGAGAGAATGAAAACAACAGAGGCAGAAAGAGGCAGGACAGACAGACAGACAGACAGACAGACAGACAGACAGACAGACAGACAGACAGACAGAGAGACAGACAGACAGAGAGACAGACAGACAGACAGACAGAGAAAAAAATAGACAGATAGACAAACAAGCAGTCAGACAGACAGACAACAAACACAGACAGACAAATGGACAGACAGACGGGCAAATGATCAGACAGACGGGCGCTTTCAGCCTTTCTTTTGATGGGCCCACAGCCGCCGAGTCCGTATTGTATCTTATGTCAAAAGACATTTGACCTCTGTGACCTCGCAACATGACACTTCTGACCCCGCCCCCTTCCATCCTATGGACAACAACAAAAAGCCAATTACGGACCGCCGTGGAAGAAATCTACACTGGCGTATGTGTGTGTGTCACAGTTCACAATCACGCCTTATTCACATTTTGTTGGAGAGGGTTTTCAGCCAGCTGTTGTAAGTACCAAACAAAAATACGTACTAGATAACTCTTTAAGTGTGTTTGCGAAAACATATAATTATCGCTACCTTGGAATTACAAGGTTCTATTTGCTCAGTAGATCTATCTAGTTTTTAGAAATCTGATGTTAGAATTTTTTAGTTTCACAACATGCCAAGCTCTCTCAAATGTAATTCTTTGAATACCCTAATAACGACTCCGAATAGTCTTATGATTTTATTCAATCAAATAGAAAATTTATTCTGACCCCTTGGTCTTAGTAACTCAAAACCGGGGGGGGGGGGGGGGGAAGGGGGGATGGCAGATAGCTTAGAGCATTGTAATTCTAAGGTAGCAAAATGTGTGACATCTTGTTGAAATCAGGCGCTCGTCAAATAATGAAATCAAAGAAAGCCCTTTTCCCGCCCGTCGGGAAAATTTTGTGGATTTTTTTCCTCAACACCTTTATGTCCTTTTAAAAACACAGTTATGTAAGGATATTACTGAAAACGTTGATCAAAGGCGCTAATTAATATAAATAATATGTAAATTTGCAGTTTCCAAGCACATACTTTCAAGCTTTGAAAGTTGCCAAACTTGGGCTGTGATTTTCTCGTTAATTTTTCTTCTGAAACTGGGCGATCCCCACCTCCACGTCTATTCAGATAGATGACTATTTTCTTCTTTTTTTTTAGAAGCAAGACAAATAAACAAGCCTCGAGATGATATCAATAATTCCATGTTAAAAAAAAACAACTTTACAAGTGCCTGATTCCACCGCGTCGCGACACATAAAATTGCCAGATCAGAAGCAGACCACGGGCAAAGCTGTGGTACACATCGAACCACTAAACACAACAAAAGACACGAACGTGCTGGAAAAGATAGAAAGAGAGAGGGATGGATAAGAAAGAAAAGAATAAGAAATGAATTTAGGCAATAAAAGTACCAGAGAGACCAAGTAACAGTCCTTACAACACACTGACCTCGCTGAGAGCAATTCAGCAGATGAAATATTTACTATTATTTACCCAGAATGCCCTAACAACGGCACAACGGGTCATGAAATTATAATCAAGAGAAGCAATGAAGAAAGCGGAAACTAATAGGAAAGACGCAGTTTCCAAACTAGATCGCCGTCCAAATCGATATCGATGACTCCGTGATTGCTTTCCCCAAACAAAGATCATGGCAAAGTGTTGATTGATTCGAGAGGCATTGTGTATTGAAGGAACGTCATGTCGTCTTTATTGAGGAAGCAGCCCTCGACGGGGAAGTGTTGCTTTGCTTTGGCTAACATTTCAAAGACCATAATGGATAAAAGAGCGAACTCACAAACTCCCAATAATTGATTTATTATCCGTGCGATGTGCTTAAGTTCTTCTGAAGTTTACACTCAAGAAGTTGTCAAACTTAGCAAAGGACTCAGTTCTGAGTGGGATATCCTTTGAAAAAAGAAATAGATAAATTATGAATAAAAGGCCAGCACGGAAAATGCAGAGTGTTTTGAACTTAAATATTTTTTTTTAGACCTAACAAAGTGACTGGCGATTTTTCTATTGCGAGATAATATTTGTTCTTCGTGGTTTTCTTGATGTTGTTGTCGTTACTAAGGAAACAATGAAGGGGAAGAGATAGTGTGCATACCTGAAAACACGTGGTTCCTTGGATCGATTCTCTGTGTTCATAGATCTAAAAATATGTTTTGCCCATGATACAGACCCACGAGTTGAAACGTAGAGCTTTTTACAAGTTAGTAATGATTTTTGTTCATGCTTTTTCCCTA